TGCTCCCCTTGGCTTTATCTCTAGAAGCTTCTCTGTGAAGCTGAGAGGGGATTGAGCAGAGCAGGCTTCCCTGGTGCCTGGTGGTCAGGGGGATGGCTCCCTCTGCTCCCAGGGAGCCACAGGACACCTCACTGGCAGGGTGACTTGTTTGGTGCTCTGGAAGTTTGGCTGGCAAAGGATGGAGAGGAAGTTTAGACTTTGTCCAGGGCAAAGGAGCCTCGGTGACAGCCATGTGGGTGCTGATGTCTGCCAGTGGAGCTCTCCTGGCTGCCAAACAAGGACAGGATCCTCACAGCACAGGTGGCCCTGGGCTATGGGGGCATTCCAGGGGAAGCCCTGAGATGGGAACACAAAGGAGACCAAGCTGCCCTTACCTGCACGTTGTGTGTGAGTCCTCCACAGGGCTGTCAGGTGTTGTGTCCCTTGGGAGCAGAGCAGAGGAGCCTCTGTGTGCACTGGGCACTCCTGGGCACAAATCACAGCCCTCAGAACTTCCCAGTGTGGCAACCTGAGTCCAGACAGTCCCTGGAGGGTGTCCCTGTCCATGGCAGGGGGTGGGAACAAGATGATATTTAAGGTCTCTTCCAACCCACACCATTCTGTGATTCCCTCTGCTGGGAGTGCAGTACATTTGAAATCAGATTCCATCTGGTTTGAAACCAGATTCCTCTGGCCATATCCTCCCTGAGTTTTTACTGTCAGAGCACTGGGGATATTCCCTGTATTCCCAGTAAAGATGTCAGCCCAGAGCTTCAGCCCTAATCTGCCTTCACCATCTCCCCTCTGCCCCTCAATCTGCTGATTTAGGCAGCCTAAATCAGTGTGGCTGCAACGTGTCCAGCCCAGGGGTGTTTGATAATTAACAATTCCCATGTGCCTGGACTTGCTGACCTGGTAAACCAAGCAGGAATGCTGCTCCCACTGACCCGAGGGAAGGTCCAGGGAAGGTCCCAAGGAGCTCAGCAGATCCCTCCCTCCAGTGCAGGAAGCAGAAATCCTTCCTTCCCCACACTGAGCTGTTTGGCCCCTGCTGAATCACCCAGACTCTTGTCTTTGTTTTCCTTGCAGGTTCATGGAACAGCATCCAGAAATGGACTTTTCAAAGGCTAAATTCAACTGAGCTCTCCCCTTTCCCCCCTTTCAGTCAGCCCATTGAATGGGGCAGGATATGTATGGTTGGATATTCCTCACCTTGGGCAAGTAAAATTTCAGCATCCCCCACCCGAGCCTGCTGTGGAGGCACCTGTGCAGAGTCACCCTCAGAGTGCTGGGGAGCAGAAGGCAGGGCCCCAGAGCAGCTCCAGAAGGAGCCATCTGGCACAATTCCCAAAGGGCAGCGAGGAGAGAAGGAGGGGTTGGAGCAAAAAAAGGGGGTTAGGGCTGGGAGAGCCAGACCTGACAGGTTTGGAGATAAATCCTCAAGGTATTGCTTCGCTTGCTCTTTGCCAAGATCCCGAGATCTACTCCCTCCTGCTCTCCTGTGAAAATAAGGGTCAGTTTATTTTGTAAAATAAATCTTTTGCTGCCTTCCTGGGAAGGGAAAAGAGCAGTTTAAAAGCACAGCTGTTGCAGTGGAGACAGGCCCTGCTTCTCCTTGCTGCTGCTCCTGTTTGTGCTGGAGGCAGCTGGAGCACTCCAGCGCTCCCAGCACAGCTGGAGAGCTCAGCCTGCTGTCCTAGAGCAAGGAGAGGCTGTGGGTGTGGGTGGGAGAGGATGTGGGGGCTTTGGGGATGCTGTCGTTGCTGGGAGTGTCTCCTGCCTCTTTTCCCAGAGCCGCGTGGTGTGCAAGCTCCCGCTGATGGGTGACATCACTCTGCATGTTCATTCTTCGTTAAACTGCAGTGCAACATAAAGGAAAACAGTGGAATACCTCGGGCAGAGCGTGTGGTTTCTCTGGCAGAAGGGATCTGGGATCCAGGCTGGGAGGGAGAAGGAGGGGGTGCCGTGCCTGTGCTCTCTGCAGCCGCCTGTGAACAGCCCTCCTGCTCCCAGCTCCGATCGTCTGTCCCTCCCTCAGGAGGGGCAGGGGGAGCTGTGTCTTGCTCGGGAGCTGCTGAACCCCATTCCCAGCCAAAACCCTCGGGACTGCCCCAGAGTGGCTGTTCCAGGGCACGTCACCACACCAGGAAGCCACCCTTACCCCAGGTCTCCTTTATGCCGAGCTAACAAGGAGAGTGTCAGGAAATCCTGGGCTCTCTCCCAGATCTGCTGCTCTGGCTCTTCCCTCTGCCTCCCCCAAACACTCCCAGCACCTCCCCGAGGGATGGGCACAAACGGCTGAAAATCCCATTTGGGCAAAGTCCAGACAGCAGCACCTGGCTTGGTGGGGCTGTTCTCTGAGCAGCAGGGCACCGGTGGCATGAAGGCTCTCAGTTTTACAGGCTCCTGGGTTAAAAAGCAGAGCTCTGACCTTGAGGGTGGGCCGAGATCAGGGCAGCTGCCTGTGGAGTGCTCTGGCCCAGGTCACTGACACACACCTTCCTTCTCCCTGCACGCACCTGCCTGTCCTGCTTTGGCCCTGGTAAAACAGCAGCATCTCCTGCTTTTGTAAAAAAAGCCAGACTGTGCTGGATTTGAAGGTTTTAGCCCCAGAACGAGCTGCCTGCCTGTGCAGTGAACCCTGGTTTTGGGACAGGTGAGCTGGGAGGGCTGAGCTGCTCTGGGGTGTGAGGAGCTCTGTCAGTGCTGTGCTGCTGCTCCCTGCAGTGCTGGAGCTGGGGGAGCAGGGCCAGACCCTGCACCTGCAGCAGAATCCACATCCCAGCGCCAGCCCCTGCTCAGGGACAAGCACGGGCAGGCTCCAGCCCAGCCACAACCCAGCAGAGGCCACGGCACCACCCCAATCCCACCTGCAGCTTTGTTCTTTCCCCGTTTCCTCCTCAGCCCTGCATCCTGCAGCAGAACCCTGAGCCTGGCCCGGCAGCCCCTGGGTCTGGGAGCATGGTGGGAGAGCTGTCCTTGTCCTTTGGGAGTGCAGAGCTCCCTGAGTGTTCCCAGAATCCTGGGGCTCTTCTGTCCTCAGCCACTGTGAGCCATGGCAGCCTTGGGGAGATCCCAAATGTGCTGGTTCTGGTGGCAGCTGAGAGAAGACACAGGAAAGGCAGCACCAGGAGCCCCAGGGAAGCTGGGGCAGTTTTTGGGAGTCGGGAGTCACTGGGGGAATGGGGCCATCCCTGCCCTGACCCCTGGAGGAGGTGAATGGCCGAGCTGTGTTTGTGAACGTCGCTGATCCCAGAGCTGCCCCTGGACTTCAGCCCCTGGGCCAGCGGAACAGAAGGTGTTTCACTGCTGGCCTTGTCCTCTGCAAACATCCCCCACCACCACCACCTTCCCCAGGCCACACTGAACTGGGATCACCCTGTTGCTTTCCCTGGGATAAAGCTGCCGGCTCTGAGCTCGAGGTTTGAGGGGTGCAAAGCCCACCTGAGGGACCACGGAGCGAGGCCCTGTCCTCCTGCCCAGGCAGGGAGTGCTGAGCACCCCAGGAGCGCTGGGATCCAAACCCTGGGAGCACGTCCCTGTCGTGGTGAGCCCCAGCAGAAGGGAGGTGCGGGACAGGGACAGGTCCTGAAGGTCCTTTTGTGTTTCTGCAGTGAGCTTTCTGCAGGGTAAAGACTTGCCTGGCATTTGGGTTTTTGTCCTTAACAGCAGCTTCTGGCTTAGCTTTCATTAATGAATATTGCAGCTCAGAGCGTTTGGGAAATATCCCAGACTCCAGGACAGCTTTGGGAAGAGCAATGGAACAGCAAAACCCCAGGGAAGGGCAGAGGAATAGCGAGTGTTGGATGGTGCTGTGAAGTTTCAGGAGGAGCCCCAGCTGCTCTGCTACTGCAAGGACTGAGGGTCCATCCATCTGCTCCTAACGCCTAAGCCACACTGAAATAAATAATTCAGCAGCTCAGGGTGTGGATGTGGAGAGGAATTTCTTTAACACCCCTACAGCCATTCCCTGCAGAGCTCCTGAGCTTCCTTCACTCGATCCTGGGGGACCTGGGCAGGACAGGGACCCCTCTGAGGTCACAGCATCGCAAGGACTGACAAAGTGGGAGTCTCTGGAGACCGCCAAATACCAAAAGCCAGCCCCATAAAACCAAACAATGTCTTCAGGAAAAGCCAGCTGCTGAGTCAGGCTCCCAGAAGGAAGTGCCTGTGAGAGAGAGAACACCTCCACAGGTGTGTGGCCAGGTAAAGGTTCTCGTGTTTGTGAGACCTCCACCTGGGCAACCCAGTCAGGTCACTCAGCAGAACACTCAATGCTCAGAGCAAAAACCACTCCAGCAAGAGCCAAGCCAGCTTCATCCACAGCAAAAGCCCCACGGATTCATTCCATGTGTGGATGGTGAGCAAAGAAACCCACGGCCCCTGCAGCAAACTCCAACAGGAAGCTGCTGAATTCAGCTGACCCCAGCTGCTCTGGGGCTCCAGACACAAAAACATCCCCAGAGACCCTTCCCAGCCGAGAGAAGGCAGCATTTACCTCTCCATAGCTCTGAAATCCTCCCAGGAAACACATCCTGGTCCTGTGCACCAGAGGGAAACCCCCACGGCCCCTGCCCCAGGAGGGTGAGGAAGGTCAGTGGCCAGGAATGGAGCCCTGCAGGTTATCCTGGGATTTGTGCTGCAATTGGGAAGTGCAGAACTGGTCCTTCAAGTCACAGGGTCAGAGGCTGGGCCACCCTCCATCCCCGATCCTGCAGAGCAAACCCCACATCTGCTGCCACGAGCTGCTGACATCACAGGGACAAGGTGGAAATTCTCCCTCCAGGCTCAGCTTTTCCAGAGCTCAGCTCCAGCATCGCCGCTCAGGGAAGGTCCAGGTTTCCCTGCAAGTCAACAAACACCTCCCCAGAGGCTCCTTCATTCGCATCCAGACACCAGCCTGGCATTCAGCATCCCTCTGCAGCTGCCAAATGCATGAAAATGAATCAGCCACCACCCCACGAGCAACCCCCAAGCCCACATCCCCAAGCTGATGAAAACAGGAACGCAGAAGTCACAGCACAGGTAAAGAGCACAACTTTTAGTTCATAAAAAAGATCAAACCAGAACATTTAAGGCCAATGAGTGCAAAAGAATCCCATAAGACACCACAGGTGAACCAGCTTCAGGGACCATCGAGCTGACAGTCTTCCTCTCAGTGAGTTTTTGGGGGCTTGGGGGATATTTTTGCTAGTTTAATGCACACACACTCACTCTTCATTCCCAGCCTAGACATTAAAAACGTGTATTTGCTCTGTAGCAGCACCTGCAGCTCGCTGCAGCTCAGCCCTTGTCTCCAAAGCACAGCCCACAGAGCAGTGTCAGTGTGACCCAAGTGACGCCTCAGCACACAGCTTTGAGGAAACTTGTCCAAATAACAATGTACAAACCCATGAGAGGCAGAAGCCAAGCAGGTCCCTCAGGATGGGCAGCATTTGGAAGGAGGTGACCTCACACAGCTCCCCTGGGAGCCCCAGCCTGGCCTTGCTTCAAGTCATCTCCTTGAATAAACTCCATTTCTCACAAACCAACAGCTTCAAACACAAGGCAGGGAGGGGAAGCTAAATCCAGGCTCAGTCTCTTCCCTTCATCTTTGAAATATTTCTCTCTGCCAGTGTCTCCAGGTGTGGTCTCAGTAATGCCCCTGATTTCTGGAAGCACACTCTGAACAGAGCCAGTGGTTTACAAAAACAGGCTCTAACAGGGACTGGAACTGTCCATTTCAAAGGGTTTTGGCCTTTTCAAAAAGCCTGAGAGCTCCTGAGAGGAATCAAATCCTTCCTCCCTGCCCAAACCTCTGAAGAACAATCACAGGCAATAAAATAAAGGCACATTTCAATTCAACTAAGGCACATTTCAATTCAATTAAGGCACATTTCAGTCCAACTGAGGCACAAAACCATCATCCACACTGAAGCTCGGGGCCTGTTTGGGCTTCCCTCTCCCCAGAATCCAGTGGCTGTGTTTATCCTGTGGCTGCTAAATTCAACAAAGCATTTTCTCTCCATGTCCAAGGGCACCCAAATCTCCAAACAAATCCCATGGCTTGACGTGTTTGCTTTGTGATAAACAACCAAATGGCAACACCACAGATGCAGCTTCCTCCTGCTGCAGCCCTCAAGGCCACCTGGCACCGCCCTGGGGACAGCGGTGCCCCATCTCCTGCCTCCCCCAGAGAGGTGCTGAGTGCCCACAGGGACAGGAAGGGACCAGCAGTGCCTCTCAAACCCTCTGCAGACACTCTCAGGAGCTTTTCCTGTCAAAACAAACCACTTTTAAGGATTTTTCTAGCAGAACAGCCAACAGCCCAAGGTCTGAAGCACAAAAAGTCAGGAGTGAATCAAGTGTTGCTCACCTGGAGCCACAGCCCTGCTCCAGGCTCTCCCAGGGGAAGCATGGAGGGCTTGGCAGGGTGAGGGAGAGCTGCTGGCAGGGCCCTGTGTGCTCTGGGGATGCCTCACAGCAGGGCTCACAGCAGGCTGGCAGAGCTGATCCCCATAGTCTGCTCAGGCAGGGCCAGCCGAGCCCCCTCCCAGCCCCCAGCACCGGCACCGTGGCACCGGATGAGCCAAGAGGCCACAAATGAAATGAACCCCAGAACCTGAACCTGCTCCTCACCAGGCAGCAGGAGATGACACCAAGGGTCAGCAGGGAAAGGCAGATCTGGCTACTGAAAACACCATGGGTGTCTGACTTTGGGTTTGTGGGACCAGCACAGGCACTTTAAATAGAGATTTGGGTCCCCACAGAGGGATTTGGGTCCCCACAGAGGGATTTGGGTCCCCACAGAGCAGGATTTCAGCCTGCACCCCAACATCAGCACCAGCAGAGACCCCACACAGTCATTCCCTATCCAAGTTCGCTTAGGCAACGCCAGGAAGCAGGAACTGTACAAGAGGTCCTGAAAGCAGGGAAAGGGCTGAGCCACTGAGGCTGCTGGAGCTAAATGTGCTCTACAGAAATCACATAGGCACAAGTTATCTGCTGCTTCCTCGTCCATCTTCTCCTCCCTGGGCACACATTCCACCTCCAGAGTTCATCAGCTCCGCAGTTCGCTTCCTTGATTGTCCAAAAAGCCCAAAACATCCAGTGAAATTCAGACAGCAGAAGGAATTTGGCTTCAGTAAGGATCAGGGTAGACTGGGAAAAACAAAAATCAAATGTGGCACAGCACACTCCACATGGAAAGAGGAGGATTGTGGCTGCAGCAAAGCCCTGGAATGCTGCTTGGGTCCTTCAGCAGTACACCTGGAGCAGGGGTGCCCCAGAGGAGTCAGTCTCTGTGTCCTGGAAAGAGGAATCTCTGCTGGCTGGAGAGCCTTGGGGAGCAAAGAGAAGAGAAGAGACGGTGCCATTAGCCCAGAGGAAGCACAGCAGCCTGGCACTGGGGAAGGAGCTGCCACAAAAGGCTTTGTGTACCATGAGGGAGGAGAAAGCCACACAAAGCCACGGCAAGGAACAGCCCTGCCTGCTCTGCAGCCATCTCCCAGGACAGAGCTGCTGTGCAGGAGGAAACTTGTCTTTTAGGCCTGGGCTGCTCTTTGGGAGGATCAGAGCTCGGGGCAGCCCCATGCTCCTGCCTGCTTCCCTTTTGCACAGTTCCTTTTGTTCCCAGTCTCACCCAGCTGTGACCTCTGGCAGGCACACCCCAAATGCAGCCCCAAGCTGTGTCCAGGCACAGAGAAACTGAGAGCTCCCAGCTCAGGTCCTGTGCAGGGACAGGGAACGTGCCACTCCTGGATTTCAGCCCTTGTCACAAAGGCCCACCAACCCACGAGGGTCCGAGCTCCAGTGCTCCCAAGGCCCAGGACAAGCGAGGGGAAGCTGAGGAGCAGCTCAGCCTTTGTGGAGGGTGAGGACATGAAACAGGGGATGTTCAGGGCACCCCTCTGCGGCCCTGGCCCCGGCCAGGTGCGTTACCTGCGCTGCTGTGCCGCCTCATGTTCCTGGCCAGCACATCCGCTGCCGTCTCCTCCGAGATCTGCACGGCCAGCTCTGCAAGGAGAAACAGGAGGGCCTGAGACAGTGAGGGATGGTGCAAAGGATGACTCAGCAGTCAGGATCCCTGGCAGGGAGCACCCTCAGGGAACACGACAGGCAGACTCTGACTCTTCCCATCGCTTCCGCTCTTGTCCGGGTAGTCTGAGAGCTGTCTGTCCTCAAATGCCAGGAGCAGCCTCTCTGCTAATCTGGGAAGCACAACACCCACACGGCTTCCTCTCATACTTCTGGGTATCTCATTGCCCCCACACTCAGCTTTTCAAGGTTTTTCTGTTAAAACAAACTCTGTTATACCCTGCTCTCGAGCTCAGACACTTGAGGCTGCTCCCACAAGGAGGAGGAAGCAGGAGGCACTGGTGGTGTGGAACAGCCCTTCCCTCCTTTTTGCAGGGATATTCACTGTGTGGAGGAGATCTGGGCTCTGAGGTGTCTGAGGGTGGCATTAGCCAGGCAGCACATGGGAGAGCCAGCTGAGTAACTGGACATCCTCTGCCACAAGCAGCTCGTCTGGTCCTACCAGTTCAGTTTGACTCAGCTTTTCTGCCTCCTTTGGATGAGCACAGGCAGCAGCAGCAGCAGCAGCAGCAGCACAAACCCATCTATTGCTCAGCACAGACCTCACGGGCAAGGAAAGACAGGCTCAAAAAAGCCACAGCACAGACAGGGTGAGAAGCAGAGCTCTCCACAAGGACCTCCACTCACACATCCCATGGGAACACCCAGCGGGGACAGAGCAGCTTCCAGTGCCACGTCTCGGTGGCTTTGATGACACAGCCCCATGGCAGCAGCCAGGGACCCCCAGGGACCCCCACGTACCGTCCTGGCTGATGACCATGGACTCCAGCATCGTCTCGTTGCCGCTGTCGGGCGCGTTGCCCCGGCTGGACTTCTCCTGGTGGCTCTGGCTGGGGATGGAGATGTGGGGCCGGACCCTGCTTTTGCGGGTGCTGATGCGGATGATGCCCCGGACCAGCCTGCACTCGGCATCCTGCTCGTCCAGGTTGTAGTCCTGAGTGATGCTGTTGATGAGGTCCGAGATCTTGTTGGTCTTCTCCAGGAAGACGGTGTCCGAGGTGCACTTGGCCAGCTCGTCGATCTGGTGGACGCTGAACAGCTCCGTGAGCTTCTTGAAGATGAGGACATCGATCTGCCGGCTGGACATGGAGCCGTTCAGCTCGCTGATGTCCACGTCGGACTCGTGGAAGGAGTAATACTCCTCCGAGCTCCGGTGGCTGCTGGGCAGCGGCGGCTTCTCAATGCTGTTCCTGAAGGGCTTCTCCAGCAGCTCCTTGCAGCAGGAATCAGATTCCAGGTGGTGGTTGGGGTTCCTGTTTGGATAGACAGGGATGCCCTTCAGCTTCACGTCTGGGTAACTGAAACTGCTGCCCATGATGGATTTTTTGATCTGGTTCCCGTTCTTCTCAACAGGAGAGGCGTTGGTGGGGCTGTTTGGCAGCCGCCCGTTGTAGTCTCCATTCTTCCCATCCTCTGTGGAGGTCTCAGCGGGCCCCGGATAGGGAATGCAGACACTGCAGTCCTGGAAGCAGCCCCCACACGTCACTATGCAACAGAAAACGGCCTTGTACGTGTTCCAGGCCTGAGACAGGGAGGAGCAGCAAAAGCTCTGGTTTGGGGGAGCCTCTGCTGTCCCAGAGATGAAGGTGATGGTCTCTGCCTCTCGGCCGTTGGAGTCTTTGAGCTCGGCCTTGCGCCCTTTCCTGTCCCGCATCTGCTGGGCCCGGCTGCGGCTGGCTTTGATCTCGGGCGTGGAGCCACTGAACACCTCCAGGCTGACATCTGTGTCCCTGGCTGCCCGTGCTCGCAGGGGCACGGCCTCCGGGCCGGGCTGCTCCCGCTGCCGGGGGCTGCTCAGCTCCTGGGGAAGGCGGCTCCTCCGGCCCAGCATGGCTCGGCGCACGGGCACCTGCAGGACAGGAGGGCTCAAATCAGAGCAATCCACTCATCACCAGTCCCACCTCAGCATCAGCACAGAGGGCTCTGACAGCCAGAGACTCCCAAAGTCAACGTTTCAGTGACTTACGGGAATATTTCGCATCAGGACTCGCGCTGCTCTCACTCGGGGCCCGCGTTCTGGGGTTCTCCCACTACCCAAACTTTGCTGCTTCCTTTGGGTAGATGCTCAGACCAGAAGAGGGATGATTTAAAAGGGCTATTTTCAGAGATCAAAATCCCTGTAACCTTCAGAAGAGTTTCCTCCACACAGCTGGAAGAAGAGTCAGCTCCAGAGCAATAAAGGAGCAGCACAGCTGGAGGTGGAGCCACTGACAGGCTCCAAAGGGAAAGTATCTTTTTTTAAACAACTTCCCTTTGTCTTGCATTCCTTGGGATTAGGCTGGGCCCTGACAGCACTTATCCATTTCAAAACACATCGTGCCCAGGAGGAGATGACAAGCAATCCATCATTGTGCAAGCTGCCAATTCCAGCTCCACGTTATTTGCTGCTATTTCAATTTAGAGGATTTAGCAATGACAGCATTACCAACACTAATGATTTTTGCCAGTCATGCTAAGGTCGGGTGATGTCAAAGACTTCCCTATGAAAACTCCATGTCTTCATCTGGATTAAGGGGAAGATCTTGTCAACAAGTCGCTCTCAAATCACTCCCCATGGGAACAAAACCTTTGCAAACCCCACTACAGCAATCCCCCAGCAGAGCCTGCTGAGCCGTGCCAACACAGCTCCTCCAGGTCTGCAGGGAGCTGAGCTGCAGGCTCAGTGTCCCCTGGTGTCACATTGTGCCTGCACAGAGCCAGGGCTCACACCTCAGCACCTCAATCCTCCCTCTTTTTCATCTTTTTATTATTAAAGCTCAGCATGGGGCGATGTGAGGAGAGTCAGGTCAGGGCTGTCACTCTCCACTTCTCCTGGTCTGCCTTTATCCCAGGCTGTGGTGGGTCCCCAAATTCTCCACGGTTTCCAGGCTTCTTGGCTAACGCTGCTTTCACCCCCAAGAGATCCTTTTAAATACTAATTAGGGTAATTAATAAGCAGTGAGAGCCCAGCCACAGCTCAAGTGTTTTAGGGCTGTCCTTGTTGCTTTACCATGGACTTTCTATAGGGCACCTCAAGCATGAATAAATAAATCTATCAGACCTTGTTAGAGCATTGCCTCTTTTCTCCTGGTTTCTAACCAACAGTCATATTTTCCCCACAAAGGAACAGGCACAGACTGAAAACCAGGCAGTTACCTGGTTACACCACTGCTTTCCAGGAATAGTTTGGCTCTGTTACCCTCAGAAAATTCATCCCAGGAGCTCCCTTTGCACATTTCTGGGCAATATGCAAAGTAAAAAGCCCCAGCTGCTCCAATTTCAGTGCTGAGCAGGCAGAGCTCCCTCACCTCAGCACCACTGGAGAGTTTTAATTGCTTTCACTTCAGAACAAGTTGGGGTTTTTTTCCCTCAACTTCCTCATTTTTGTAATGAAGTTCAAAATTAAAAAGCAGACTGAAAAAAAGCACGAAATGAAATGAAAACATTTGAGCTGAACTGGGGACTGCTTACTGGGATGTTTCTGTTCATTCCAAGGCCTCACTGAGAGACCCAACATCTCCACTGCACTCCTTTATACAACAACAGACAATATTCTGGAGTTTCAGAGCATGGACAGAGAGAGGAGCTTTATCTCAGCTCTAAGGAAATGACCTGCAGCCACAGGTGGCAGAGACAGCTCTGGGCTCTCCCACTCCCATCTCACCTTTCTGGGAGCTCTGGACCACGTGGAAAAGTTCCTCAGGAGCACAGACACGACACAGCTCCTCGATCCAGCAGCTTCCCCAGCACGGGAAGGGGCTGGACCAAAACCCTCAGCCATAAATAAACTCTCAGAACAAAATCCACATCCAAGTGTTACTCACACGATGGTTGGGAGCTTCCTCTGCTCTCACACAGGCACCGTGAGTGACTGGAGAAGATCCCTCTAGAGAGGCTCAGCATCTGCTCCAGAGGAGCCAGAAGGGATCTACACAGGGTTTGCAGCACTCAGAGTTAGCCAGGGTCTAAGATCTTCATTGTTCAGAGGGTGGGATTTCCTTGGAAAGTTTTAAAAAAGCTCAGTTAAGTTGGGAATCTCCTGAACAACGTCACATCCCTTTGCCTATACACGCCAGTGTTGTTGGCAGCCAGGGAATGTCTCCTGAATTCCAGGATTTACACACTGACACAGCTCCTCTGAGCTCTGTGCAAGCATCCACAGCTGTGGAGTGTCCCAAGGAGCTGGAAGTCACCTGTTAAGGTCCTGCTCCCAACTGCTGGCACCGGGCAGGGATGGAGACCCTGACCCAGAGTAAACGTGGATCCAGCATCCTCCCTGTGCATCCCTGGGGATGCAGCATCTTCTCTCTCAGCATTTGAGACAGAAACTCCTGGCCAAGGAACTGCCTCCTGCCAAATGGAAGGAGAAGGGGAGACCAACCTGGGCACAAACAGAGCCCCCTCTGCCTACCTCGGCCCCCACCATGTCCTCCACGGGGGATTTCTGGGGAGAGGAGAAGCAGGAACGGCAGGGGACAGACCCATCCCAGCCTGTCCTGTTCTGCACAGGCTCCCACCGCGCCCCCCACTTCATTTTCCAGCCCTGGCAATCAGAGCCGGCCCCAGCCGGGCCAGGGGCTGTCCCCAACCCCCGGCGCACACGGGGAGGGGGAGAAGGCTCCGCAGCGGGGGCAGCCCGGGG